ATAAATCAGTTAAATGGCGAAAAATTAGGTGTCTATTTACTTTTGACCCCTCAGTGTATGTAGTTGTAAATTATCGAAAGGGTTCTTTTTCAGGATGGTTGTTAAACTCTTGAAAGTTTTATTTTTATCTTTAATATCAACATAGTTACGTATTGCATTTCTTATTTACTGATATTTCAATACTTCGACTACATCCGTAACTTTAAACCTAGGATTATTATTTTGATCTAAAATGAAGCATATAGACTTGTTATTAAACATTAAAGCATTGTGTTTTATATTTGTCTTCCCACTTATTTAGAATCTTTTTTATTAATATAAACCTAATTTTTTGTAAGAATTAAATAATATTAATTGTGGTTGTAAACACATATATATATATATATAATATAAATGTGATACCTTATTGTGGAAACCAACGATTGAAAATTCGTTACATATTTCAAGTTAAGCTTAATGTCATTCTAAAAACAAATATATCTTTAGTGCTCTGAGTTTACAGCTATCAAAGCTAAAATACAGTAAATTGATTACTAAGTATAATTTTTATGAAGTTATAGGTTTGTTTTCTGTTGAACGAAAGGTGGAGTATTATGTAATTTGTTTCCAGCAAATTAAGCTCATAAACACCCTGGGTCTGGCATGGCCAGGTGTTTAGGGCGCTCGACTAGCAATTTGCGGGTCGCGGGTTCGAATCCCCGTCACACCAAACATGATCGCCCTTTTAGCCGTGGGGCGTTATAATGTGACGGTCAATCCCATTCTTCGTTGGTAAAAGAGTAGCCCAAGAGTTGGCGGTGAGAGGTTGATGACTAACTGCCTTTCCTCTAGTCTTACACTGCTAAATTAGGGACAGCTAGCGCAGATAGCCCTCGTGTAGCTTTGCGCGAAATTCAAAACAAACATAAACGCCCATTTTGCTTTTGCACCGGAAATATTATTTACTATTTTATGTCAAAAATTGTTCTGCATCCTTGTGACACGGAGAAACCTGAAATACGTTTTTTTTCAAACCACTCATTTTTTAATTTTCACTGTGATAAATATTTTTTTAACAAAGACTTATTATAAATTTATCGTTGCTGTTTGAAATTGGACTTCTTCACTACCATTGAATTCTAACCTGTTTTGAAAAAGTAATGTACGGTAGATTAACTTTTGTTTTTCTTAATCTAAAAAAAAATGTTTGTAGAGGAGCCGTAAAGCAAGTTCCAACTTCGATAGAAGCAGTTTATTTACTTGTTTTATTACTTCTCATAAATACTTTCTTTTCTAAGAAAAGACGCAGTTGGTATTTAGGAAACACGCTCACTGGTTGTTTAGTTATATCCGATATTCCTTTACTTTAAATGTCAGCGGTTCCTGATTAAGCTGCTGCGTGGTCACAAGTAAATAGACACCACCTTTTCAGAAAAAAATTAAAATTTTCAATCATATTCACATGAATTGATATATTTTTAATTTAATTAATATCTAGTAGATCTTTCTCTCGCTTCGTGGAGTTCGTTGCTCCTTTGGGGCATTGTGAGAATCATCTCGTCAATT